AGGATCCCGTAAGTGTTCATGACTCTCATCTGGAGGGAAAACCCTTGTGGATCTACAGCGGGATGGAGATGATCCGAGTCGTGCTGGCCGTGCTGGTTCTGCTGGGGCCCGTGGAGGGCAGGAGGGCCCGGGGCCAGCGGACACACACACCGGAGAGCTTCCCTCTGGACTTCACAGCTGTGCAGGGAAACATGGACAGTTTCATGACTCAGGTGAAGAGCTTGGCTCAGTCCCTGTATCCCTGCTCGACCCCGAGCCTGGACCCGGAGATGAAGCTTCGGTTCCTGAGGAACGCTTCGGTCTCCTGTAACGACGGCTCACCTGCGGGGTGAGTGATGGCTTCTTCTCATCTGTGTGTGTGTGTGTGTGTGTGTGTGGTGTAGTGGTGAGACTCCTGCTGACTGAAGGGTTGCAGGTTCAAACCTCACTGTCCATCACGGAGGTGTTCTTCATACACACACTGAATCTCAGATCAATGCAGAAGATCTGAATGTGATTAATGACTGTAAGATCTCAGCTATATCTACAGATTTGTGTTTATGTATATATATATATAAGAAAAATATATATATATAAATATACATACATATACAGTCAAACCAAAAATAATTCAGACAACAGATATCATTTTTGCTATTTTATTTTACTAGTGTGTGCTATTCATTTATGTAAGTGAGGAGAGAATAAAGTAAAAAATAAAGTAAATTGTGACATATTATACCCAAATATTCTCCATACAGTGACTACCAGTGACATTTATTACAATATGGGACCAAAAATGATTCCTCCACTTTGAGCTGATCATGTTTTGCTGAAGTGTGTTTTCTGTAATTGCTAATGCTCTTTTTACACACAGACTGAACAACATGAAGCATTGCTTGGTCACTGGTTGAGCTAAACTGGTATTATCTAATTGTGTAGTTAAATTTAACAGCTGACAGATATTCAACATAATTCATGTGTGAGAGTCTAACAGAAGGACGGACAAAACCAGTCAAATATTGTCATATTTCATCACCATTTTCTAAACTATAGCGAATAAACTGTGATAATGTGAGAAATGTTGAAGGTGTGTGAGTAAATGGTGGTTTGACTGTATGTGTGTGTGTATATTATCTCGGATAATTAGAGTGAGATATTAATGCCTCACATTCCCAGACAGCAGAGAAGAAGATCCGGGGATAATCGTTGCGGTTCGGTTCGTCTTGTTGGAATCTTCGGGGCGGTTTGAGTAAAATAAGCGAATAACGGTGTGTGTGTGTCGCGCGCACGATCATTGTCCTCGCGCACGCGCCGCAGGTGAGAAGAGTGACATCACGCGCACGTGGTTCTGCGTCGCTAAACCATAACTTCTATATGAACATTTATTTGGGGGAAAAAAACTTGAAAATTTGTCTCTCTCTTAAAAATCAATATAAATTCTATCTAAAAAAAAAAAGAATCTTACCATGCCTTTTCAAATCTAGGCCTACTTGTTTCAATCAGTTGCTTTACTGCTTAAAATGCCCCAGTTATGCTATTTTAAAGGCTTTTGATGTAGTTTTGTCGTCTCCTACAACCGGTTCACATGCATCGAAGGTCAAAAACACTTTAATTTTCTCATAACAAACACTGCACATCAGCTCTTTTCTAACAGTGTCTGAAACGTTTGATAAAGGATTTGGTCTCTCTAAACCCCGCCTCTATGAGCATTGCTCTGCTCTGATTGGTCAGGCGGCCCAATCTAGAGTGTATGATGGGGCGGGGCAAAGTAGATGTTGTTCGCGGACAGCCAGTAAAGCCCATAGGCTGGCATTATGCAAATTTGTTACGTTGTTCAAGTGAGACTGGAATTACTGAAGACTCGTTTCAGAATCGCTTCTCTCTTTTGGGAGGCAATAACATTTGCGGGTAAATAATCTGATCAAACATGCAGCAGCACATTCATCTAATGTCTCATATGAGCTTATATGAATCATATTTGTCTTTTTATGATTCAGTTACTACATAAAGGAGTCCCGAGGCAGCAGGAGATGGCTGATGTTCCTGGAGGGTGAGTGAATCCGTTTGTGTGTGTGTGTGTGTGTGTGTGTGTGTGTGTGTTATGTAACAGTGTTTGTGTTGTTCAGGTGGATGGTACTGCTTCAGCAAACACACCTGTGACAGCAGATACGAGAACATGAGGCGACTCATGAGCTCCAGCAAATGGCCTTCGACAAGGACAGGTTAGTCACGCCCACCTGACATCTCAACTTGACCTCTGACCTCTCAAACTGACCTCTGTCCTCTCACCTCTCAACCTGACCTCTCAACCGGACCTCTGACCTATCAACCTGACCTCTCAACCTGACCTCTGACCTCTCAACCTGACCTCTGACCTATCAAACTGACCTCTGTCCTCTCAACCTGACCTCTGACCTATCAAACTGATCTCTGTCCTCTCACCTCTCAACCTGACCTCTGTCCTCTCACCTCTCAACCTGACCTCTGACCTATCAAACTTACCTCTGTCCTCTCACCTCTCAACCTGACCTCTGACCTATCAAACTGTCCTGTCACCTCTCAAACTGACCTCTGTCCTCTCGACCTGACCTCTGACCTCTCAACCTGACCTATCAAACTGACCTATCAAACTGACCTCTGTCCTCTCAACCTGACCTCTGACCTATCAAACTGACCTCTGTCCTCTCACCTCTCAACCTGACCTCTGACCTCTCACCTCTCAACCTGACCTCTGACCTATCAAACTGACCTCTGTCCTCTCACCTCTCAACCTGACCTCTGACCTATCAAACTGACCTCTGTCCTCTCACCTCTCAACCTGACCTCTGACCTCTCAACCTGACCTCTGACCTCTCAAACTGACCTCTGTCCTCTCGACCTGACCTCTGACCTATCAAACTGACCTCTGACCTCTCGACCTGACCTCTGACCTATCAAACTGTCCTCTCACCTCTCAACCTGACCTCTGACCTCTGTCCTCTCACCTCTCAACCTGACCTCTGACCTATCAAACTGACCTCTGTCCTCTCACCTCTCAACCTGACCTCTGACCTATCAAACTGACCTCTGACCTCTCAACCTGACCTCTGACCTCTCAAACTGACCTCTGTCCTCTCGACCTGACCTCTGACCTATCAAACTGACCTCTGACCTCTCGACCTGACCGCTGTTTACTTTAGGCTCAGCGATGAATTTACTGCACCCTCACATGCTCTATGATTTCAGTGATAAGTGTTATAAAAATATCCAGTCATAAAAATGTAGTTTAGTGTATAATGTCACGGAGTAGTTTAAATAACTTTGTGAAAAAATAATAAATTGTTACAGTTTTATGAATTAATGTGATTTTTTTCAAATGTAAATAAAAATGAGAACAGAAAATACAGAATTTGGGGAAAATAAAACCCTAAAAAGTTATTTTTTGTTAATCTTTTTATAAAATGTTGTTAAATTAAATAAGTTTTATTATTTCAATTAATTACGTGCTTTTTGAACACTAAAATTGAATTTAACCATTAAAACAAAATCCAGAAACATTACAATCCAGAAACAGAAATTGGGAAAAAATTGGGAAAAAATTAAATCATAGAAACAAATCATAGGGCCGCCTAGAAACCACCTAGCAACGCCCTAGCAACGCTCACAGCTTCCTGGCAACAGAGAGGCGTGCCAAAAAAACAACATATTCTGTGTCTCGAGACATTTAAAGCTGAGGTGTGTGTTTGTGTGTGTGTGTGTGTGTTTCAGGAACAGGGATTCTGTCTCCTCAGCCGGAGGAAAATCCACACTGGTGGAACGCAAACAGAGTGTAAGACTAAAGCTTTTACAGGGATAATAATGTTTTAATCTCCTAAACTGATTTAGCATTTTTAGATTTTTGTACGGTTTACTCTTTTTGTAATGTAGGATAAGTCAGATTTTAATTAATTGTGAGGGCAATACTCACTCACACACACTCTCTCTCTCTCTCTCTCTCTCTCTCTGCAGGTTTGTGCCGTACTGCTCTAGTGACGTGTGGAGCGGATCATCAGCAAAGACAGATCAGAGTAAAATACACAAACACGTCTGCATCATTTACATTCATCAGTGTGTGTGTGTGTGTGTGTGTGAGTGAGTGTGAGAATAACACGCTGTGTCTGTCTGTATTCAGGTGATTACGTGTTCATGGGTTCTCAGATCATTCAGGAGGTCATAAAGGATCTTGTGTCTGAAGGACTGGACCGCGCTAAAGTCCTGCTACTGGCCGGGAGCAGGTGAGGGACTACACACACACACACACACACTCTCACTCTCACTCTCTCTCTCACTCTCACTCTCTCTCGCTCTCTCTCTCACACATAATTATTACATTTTATGTTATAATTGAGTCAGTATGTCATAATTTAGCATACTTCAGATTATATGACATAATTTCAACTTTTTATCTAATAATTTTGACGTTTTATGCCATAATTATGAGCTTTATTTAAATGAATGAAACAATCTTTAATAATCTTAGATACCAATAACAAAACTGCGTAATATACTCAAATAAAGTGTCAAATATACTGAAATATTTGCACATATATGCATATTGTGGTTAAAATATATTGTTTCTATATACACAATCAAACTCTTTAAATCCTTAGTTTTATATTTATCCATTGTTTTCACTTCGATGATGTCACTCACAATGCTTCATGGGATTGTAGTTCTTTCCATTATTAAAGCTGTCCAGTTAAAGGGATAGTTCCCCCAAAAATGAAAATTAGCCCATGATACTCTCCCTCAAGTCATCCTAGGTGTGTATGACACTCTTCTTTCAGACAAACACAATCAGAGTTATATTAAAAAATATCCTGGCTCTTCCAATATTTATAATGGCAGTGAATGACCGTTTCTGTTTTGAAGTCCATAAAAGTGCATCTATCCATCATAAAAGTACGTCTATCCATCATAAAAGTGCATCTATCCATCATAAAAGTGCATCTGTCCATCATAAAAGTGCATCTGTCCATCATAAAAGTGCATCTGTCCATCATAAAAGTGCATCTGTCCATCATAAAAGTGCGTCTATCCATCATAAAAGTGCATCTGTCCATCATAAAAGTGCATCTGTCCATCATAAAAGTGCATCTGTCCATCATAAAAGTGCATCTGTCCATCATAAAAGTGCATCTGTCCATCATAAAAGTGCATCTGTCCATCATAAAAGTGCATCTGTCCATCATAAAAGTGCATCTGTCCATCATAAAAGTGCGTCTATCCATCATAAAAGTGCGTCTATCCATCATAAAAGTGCGTCTATCCATCATAAAAGTGCATCTGTCCATCATAAAAGTGCATCTGTCCATCATAAAAGTGCATCTGTCCATCATAAAAGTGCATCTATCCATCATAAAAGTGCATCTGTCCATCATAAAAGTGCATCTGTCCATCATAAAAGTGCATCTGTCCATCATAAAAGTGCGTCTATCCATCATAAAAGTCCGTCTATCCATCATAAAAGTGCATCTGTCCATCATAAAAGTGCATCTGTACATCATAAAAGTGCATCTGTCCATCATAAAAGTGCATCTATCCATCATAAAAGTGCATCTATCCATCATAAAAGTGCATCTGTCCATCATAAAAGTGCATCTATCCATCATAAAAGTGCATCTATCCATCATAAAAGTGCATCTGTCCATCATAAAAGTGCATCTATCCATCATAAAAGTCCGTCTATCCATCATAAAAGTGCATCTGTCCATCATAAAAGTGCATCTGTCCATCATAAAAGTGCATCTATCCATCATAAAAGTCCGTCTATCCATCATAAAAGTGCATCTGTCCATCATAAAAGTGCATCTTTTTTTTTTTTTTTTTTTTTTTTTTATAAAAGTGCATCTATCCATCATAAAAGTCCGTCTATCCATCATAAAAGTGCATCTGTCCATCATAAAAGTGCATCTGTCCATCATAAAAGTGCATCTGTCCATCATAAAAGTGCATCTGTCCATCATAAAAGTGCATCTATCCATCATAAAAGTGCATCTATCCATCATAAAAGTGCATCTGTCCATCATAAAAGTGCATCTATCCATCATAAAAGTGCATCTATCCATCATAAAAGTGCATCTGTCCATCATAAAAGTGCGTCTATCCATCATAAAAGTCCGTCTATCCATCATAAAAGTGCATCTGTCCATCATAAAAGTGCATCTGTCCATCATAAAAGTGCATCTGTCCATCATAAAAGTGCATCTATCCATCATAAAAGTGCATCTATCCATCATAAAAGTGCATCTGTCCATCATAAAAGTGCATCTATCCATCATAAAAGTGCGTCTTTCCATCATAAAAGTGCATCTATCCATCATAAAAGTGCGTCTATCCATCATAAAAGTGCGTCTTTCCATCATAAAAGTGCATCTGTCCATCATAAAAGTGCATCTGTCCATCATAAAAGTGCATCTATCCATCATAAAAGTGCATCTGTCCATCATAAAAGTGCATCTATCCATCATAAAAGTGCATCTGTCCATCATAAAAGTGCATCTGTCCATCATAAAAGTGCAACTATCCATCATAAAAGTGCATCTGTCCATCATAAAAGTGCATCTGTCCATCATAAAAGTGTATCTGTCCATCATAAAAGTGCATCTGTCCATCATAAAAGTGCATCTGTCCATCATAAAAGTGCATCTGTCCATCATAAAAGTGCATCTGTCCATCATAAAAGTGCATCTGTCCATCATAAAAGTGCATCTGTCCATCATAAAAGTGCATCTATCCATCATAAAAGTGCATCTGTCCATCATAAAAGTGCATCTGTCCATCATAAAAGTGCAACTATCCATCATAAAAGTGCATCTATCCGTTATAAAAGTGCATCTGTCCATCATAAAAGTGCATCTGTCCATCATAAAAGTGCATCTGTCCATCATAAAAGTGCATCTGTCCATCATAAAAGTGCATCTGTCCATCATAAAAGTGCATCTGTCCATCATAAAAGTGCATCTGTCCATCATAAAAGTGCGTCTGTCCATCATAAAAGTGCGTCTGTCCTTTATAAAGTGCTCCACAGGCTTCTGAAGCGAAGTGATGAGTTTGTGTAAGAAAAATATCCATATTTAAAACTTTATTGACTGAAATCCCTAACTTTAGGCAGACGGCCGTGGATACACACCTGTGATAGCTTGAGCGCGAGTAAATCATGGGCTAATGTTCATGTGTGTGTGCACTGTCCCTTTAACAGTATTGCAGCATGAGAGTGTGTCGTGTGGTTCTCTATAATGTGTCGACAGTGCCGGCGGGACGGGTGTGCTGCTGAACGTGGACCGCGTGTCGGAGCTGCTGGCCGGGCTGGGTCTCGGGGCGGTGCGGGTCCGCGGGCTGGTGGACTCCGGCTGGTTCCTGGATCACAGCCCGGCCCGGGACCGCGACTGCAGCGACAGCATGAGCTGCGCCCCGACCGAGGCCGTCCGGAGAGGAGTGCGGTGAGCGGACCACACATAACCATCATCATGATTCATAATCTCATAATTACGTCATCATTTTGACATCTTAAATCCTGAGTTAGTATGTCATCATTTACTTTCTAATTAATCATTTCTGCTTTTTAAGTCTCATAATAATGATTTAGCATGTTATAATTATGAGTATGTCGTAATGTTGACTTTTTATATCAGTTATGATCTCAAAATTTTGACTTTTTGTCATAATTACAACTTTTTATCTCACAATTGACTTTTTCAATTGCAAATGTATCTCTTATTTTTAACTTTTTGTCATAACTGTCAATGATTTATGTCATAATTTACTTTTTAGTCTGTCATTGACTGTCATCCTTTTAACTTTTTATGTCAATTGACTGTCCTAATTTAAAAAAAAAAAAATTAAATCTCATAATTATGACTTAGTCAAAATTGAGAAAGTCGTTATTGACATAAAAAGTTAAAATGATGACACACTGTCATACTTGTCATATTAAATATTTTTAATTATGACGTATCATCATTTTAACTTTTTATGTCAATTACGACTTTCTCATCATTTTGAGTTTGTCATCTTTTTATGCCAATGATGACTTAGTATGTCAATCGACTGTCATAATTTAAATTTTTTAAATCTCATAATTATGACTGAGTATGTCATAACTGACTTGATTTTGACTTTTTATATCATAATTATTACTTAGAATCTTATATAGCTTATCATAACTTTGGCTCTCATAATTTTGAATTTTAAGTCTCATATCATTTAGTATGTTTTAATTAAGACAATTTAGTAATGTCATTATTGCATTTTTAGTCATAATTTCATATTTTTTTTAAATCTCATAATTAGTATGTCATAATAGTGTTATAATTATGTGTGTGTGCGTGCGTGTGTCTGTGTGTGTGTGTCTGTACATCTGTCTGTGTGTGTGTGTGTGTCTGTGCGTGTGTGTGTGTGTGTGTGTGTGTAGGTTCTGGCACAGTGTGGTTCCCGAGCTCTGCAGTCGAGCACATCACGGCCAGGACTGGAACTGCTTCTTCGGCTATAAGGTTCATCCGACACTGAAGAGTACGTGAGTCCACACCGCCCTCTAGTGCCTGGAACAAACACACACCAGTGCTGAACAAGTGCTGTGTTTTAAAAATGCAAATGAGGCATCATCTAATTAAATATGCACTAATTTACATACATTTCTCTCTACGTCTCTATACGTGTCTCTCGCCCTGTTTTCTCACTCTCTCTCTCTCATTGTCTGTCTCTCGGCCCTCTATCTCTCTCTGTGTGTCTGTGTCTCTCGCCCTGCGCTCTCTCTCTCTCTCTCTCTCTCTCTCTGTGTGTGTTTGTGTCTCTCGCCCTGCTCTCTCTCTCTGTGTGTGTCTGTGTCTCTCGCCCTGCGCTCTCTCTCTCTCTCTCTCTCTCTCTCTGTGTGTGTCTGTGTCTCTCGCCCTGCGCTCTCTCTCTCTCTCTCTCTCTGTGTGTGTCTGTGTCTCTCGCCCTGCGCTCTCTCTCTCTCTCTCTCTCTCTGTGTGTGTCTGTCTCTCGCCCTGCGCTCTCTCTCTCTCTCTCTCTGTGTGTCTGTGTCTCTCGCCCTGCGCTCTCTCTCTCTCTCTCTCTCTCTGTATCTGTGTCTCTCGCCCTGCGCTCTCTCTCTGTGTGTCTGTGTCTCTCGCCCTGCGCTCTCTCTCTCTCTCTCTGTATCTGTGTCTCTCGCCCTGCGCTCTCTCTCTGTGTGTCTGTGTCTCTCGCCCTGCGCTCTCTCTCTCTCTCTCTCTCTGTGTGTCTGTCTCTCGCCCTGCGCTCTCTCTCTCTCTTTCGCTGTGTGTCTGTGTCTCTCGCCCTGCGCTCTCTCTCTCTCTTTCTCTGTGTGTCTGTGTCTCTCGCCCTGCGCTCTCTCTCTCTCTCTCTGTGTGTCTGTGTCTCTCGCCCTGCGCTCTCTCTCTCTCTCTCTCTGTGTGTCTGTGTCTCTCGCCCTGCGCTCTCTCTCTCTCTCTCTCTCTCTGTATCTGTGTCTCTCGCCCTGCGCTCTCTCTCTGTGTGTCTGTGTCTCTCGCCCTGCGCTCTCTCTCTCTCTCTCTCTCTCTCTCTCTCTCTCTCTCTCTCTCTCTCTCTCTCTCTCTCTCTCTCTCTCTCTGTGTGTCTGTCTCTCGCCCTGCGCTCTCTCTCTCTCTTTCTCTGTGTGTCTGTGTCTCTCGCCCTGCGCTCTCTCTCTCTCTTTCTCTGTGTGTCTGTGTCTCTCGCCCTGCGCTCTCTCTCTCTCTCTCTCTCTCTCTCTCTCTCTCTCTCTCTCTCTCTCTCTCTCTCTCTCTCTGTGTGTCTGTCTCTCGCCCTGCGCTCTCTCTCTCTCTTTCTCTGTGTGTCTGTGTCTCTCGCCCTGCGCTCTCTCTCTCTCTTTCTCTGTGTGTCTGTGTCTCTCGCCCTGCGCTCTCTCTCTCTCTCTCTGTGTGTCTGTGTCTCTCGCCCTGCGCTCTCTCTCTCTCTCTCTGTGTGTCTGTGTCTCTCGCCCTGCGCTCTCTCTCTCTCTTTCTCTGTGTGTCTGTGTCTCTCGCCCTGCGCTCTCTCTCTCTCTCTCTGTGTGTCTGTGTCTCTCGCCCTGCGCTCTCTCTCTCTGTGTCTGTGTCTCTCGCCCTGCGCTCTCTCTCTCTCTCTCTCTGTGTGTCTGTGTCTCTCGCCCTGCGCTCTCTCTCTCTCTCTCTGTGTGTCTGTGTCTCTCGCCCTGCGCTCTCTCTCTCTCTCTCTGTGTGTCTGTGTCTCTCGCCCTGCGCTCTCTCTCTCTCTCTCTCTCTCTGTGTGTCTGTGTCTCTCGCCCTGCGCTCTCTCTCTCTGTGTCTGTGTCTCTCGCCCTGCGCTCTCTCTCTCTCTCTCTGTGTGTCTGTGTCTCTCGCCCTGTGCTCTCTCTCTCGCCCTGCGCTCTCTCTCTCTCTCTGTGTGTCGGTGTCTCTCGCCCGCTCTCTCTCAGGCCCGGTGTTTGTGGTCCAGTGGCTGTTCGATGAAGCTCAGCTGATGGTTGATGATGTCCATCTGACGGGTCAGCCGGTCCAGGAGAACCAGTGGCGATACATCCAGAGCCTGGGCAGCGAACTCAGGAACACACTCAAAAACGTCCCGTAAGGATTCATACAATTTCTCAGTAACACTTTACAATAAGCATCATTAATGTATTAACTAACATGAACTAACCATGAGCAAAACATTTGTCACTGTATTTATTAATCTTTGTTAATGTTAGTTAATAAAAATCCAGCTGTTCACTGTTAGTTCATGTTAACTAATGAACCTTATTGTAAAGTGTTACTGTTCCTCCTGTTTGAACCGTGACACACTGATCTCTGATTGGCTCGTGATTGTTTGATTGACAGGGCTCTGTTTGCTCCCGCCTGTTTGTCTCATGAGATCATCACCAGAAAGTGAGTAATTATGCAGATCATAATGAACAATCATCATATGGGAACACTTTACAATAAGCTTCATTAGTTAACATGAACAACACTTCTACAGCAGTTATTAATCTTAGTTCATATCAATTTCACCATTTACTAATACATTATTAAAATCAAAGGTTCATTAGTTAGCATTAGTTACTGCACTGTGAACTAACATGAACACACAATGAACAGCTGGATTATTATTAACTAACATTAACAAAGATTAATAAATACAGTAACAAAAGTATCATGTTAGTAAATACAGTAACTACTGTAAACTAATGAACCTTGTGAAGTGAGATGCCTGGTTCAGATTACAGGATGTTGGTGGGGTGTGTGTGTGTGTGGCGCAGGGTGTGTGTGACGCAGGGTGTGTGTGTCGTCTCGTGTGTGTCTCGTCTCGTCTGCGATGCGCCACAATCAAAAGACTAGCATGTTTCATGAGTGTGTGAGAGTGTGTGTGTATACTGTGAGTGTGTGTGTGTATGTATGCGTGCGTGCGTGCGAGTGAGTGTGTGTGTGTGTGTGTGTGAGTGTGTGTGTATACTGTGAGTGTGTGTGTGTATGTATGCGTGAGTGAGTGTGTGTGTGTATATGTGTGTGAGTGAGTGTGTGTATGCGTGCGAGTGTGTGTGTATGTGTGTGAGTGTGTGTGTATGCGTGCGTGCGAGTGAGTGTGTGTGTGTATATGTGTGAGTGTGTGTGTATACTGTGAGTGTGTGTGTGTGTGTGTATGCGTGCGTGTGAGTGAGTGTGTGTGTATGCGTGAGAGTGTGTGTATACTGTGTGTGTGTGTGTGTGTATGTATGCGTGAGTGTGTGTGTGTGACGGCACGCGATGACTGGGAAGCAACGTGTAGTCTGACATGTTTCTTGTCTACGACACAAGATTTTAGGAGTCAGGATCGTGTAATCCGACACCGTGAAATAAAATGGTGTAATCTGAAGCAGGCATGACTCATCATATTTCTACACTGCATTATGCACATGTTGTCGCTTCAGTTATTGGATGGACGTCCATGTGAAGGGTACTTCGCTTCCCCGAGCGCTTCAGTGCTGGGACCGCAGCCTCCGTAACCACGGCAACGGGAGCATCACGCAGGCTCCGCCCAGGGGTTGTCCCGTGCACTTGATTGACAGCTGTCCGTGGCCCCACTGTAACCCCTCGTGTCCCAGGGTCCGAGAGCATGTGACGGGGCAGGAGATGAGCGTCATCCAGTTCCTCACACACCTGGGCTTCGACGTGACGCGCATGGCACATCAGCAGGGCATGGAGCCCGACACACTCCTGGGCATGCTCAGTAACGGCACCTGACACGCGGACCGGCCAATCAGAGAGCCTCGTGACGTGTGCAATGCATTTGAGGACGGGTCGGGCCCTGTCATGGTGTAATGGTGTTTGTGATCAGTTAGCGTGTGCTTTTCTATAGACTGAAATGAAGTTCTCCATAATGAGGCGATATTTGCCCCTTAAACTGATTTCTAGGAGCATTACGACCTTTATAAAGGCAGCTTTTCTAACCTTTGTAAATGTAAGGGGACGCATACATATGTAGATTAATGGATACTGAAATATTGGGGAAAATGAAATTATACTTTAAATATGAAAGTAGGTTTCTTAATCAGTGAGTCACTGATTCATTCACTCAACTGATTCATTCGAAGTGGCTGATTCATTCACTCAACTGATTCATTCGAAGTGGCTGATTCATTCACTCAACTGATTCATTCACTCAACTGATTCATTCGGGAACATTCTTTATGAACGAGTCATTGAATGACCGACTCAACCGATTCATTGAAAAACGCAAGATAATTCAGGAATAGCATATTTTTAAGTAATTTATTAATTATATACCTTTGGATAAAGTATAAAATAGTGACAATCTTAAAAAGAGGACACATGAGTGTAGATGGTGTTTCATATGGAAGCCTTTTTCCACCACATAATAAATATATAAAAACATGCTTTGGTAAATCATAGTTATGATATACTAACTGATAATTATGAGACAAAAGTCAAACAAAATTATGGCATACTAAATCGAAATTATGACTAAAAAGTTGAAATTATGAGATGAAGTCAAAATTATGATTTAAAAAGTTGAATCGAAATTTACTTAAGCCAATCATGAAATGAAAAGACAAAATTATGGCACATTAAATCGAAACTATGACATAAAAAGACATGTTGAAATTATGACATATTACTTCAAAATCATAAAAAAAAATAAAATAAAAAAAAAAATCTTATTTTCTCAGAATTATGATTTACCAGAGCACGATTTTTTTCTTATGTGGTGTAAATGGGCTTCAGTAATTTCTAAATGTCCAATATTAAAGCAGACACACGATCAGCTGAGATCATGGACTGCAGAATCTGAGTGTGTGTGTGATAAAACCATAACCTCCTCTCTTGATGATGATGATGATGATGAACGCTCAGAGTCTCTCGCTTCAGCCCATCATAATGAAGCACTTCTTCTTAACAACTTCACAAACGAAAACGGGAAATCTGGATACCAAAATCAACAGATGGACACACACACACACGTCTCATATGAGCATCTACTCCTCTATAAACTAAACTCACTGAGAATCTCACAAAACCTGTCAAGAACATGTGCTTCAAATGTAAGAAACAATTTTTTGTGCAAAAAGCATCACAATAATAATAATAAAACATAATGGTCCTAAAAAAATAAGCTTTTAAGTATAAATAAAATATTACTTATATTTTTCTGTTGATTTTGGGATGAAACATGTTCTTGATGTGTTTCCTTCACCTTCACCCTTTATATTGTGATTTGTAGAATATGTTCAAACAGAAGACAAACTTAAGATACTTTGTTATTTATTTTATATAAAACATATTTATGAGTGATCCTGAAAAAGTATTTTGTGTAAAGTGTACATACCTGTTGAATGTTGCCTGATTTCATACAAAATATTAACAGTTATTATTGTGGCCAATTTTTTTTGTTAATATCTACTTATATATAGTTATTTCTCTTAGATGTTGATTAATATCTATATATAAGAGAAATATTAATATACATACACATTTATATATATACATATATATATATATATACGCACACACATACATATATATATATATATATACACTCACCGGCCACTTTATTAGGTGCCCCATGCTAGTAACGGGTTGGACCCCCTTTTGCCTTCAGAACTGCCTCAATTCTTCGTGGCATAGATTCAACAAGGTGCTGGAAGCATTCCTCAGGGAGTTTGGTCCATATTGACATGATGGCATCACACAGTTGCCGCAGATTTGTCGGCTGCACATCCATGATGCGAATCTCCCGTTCCACCACATCCCAAAGATGCTCTATTGGGTTGAGATCTGGTGACTGTGGAGGCCATTTTAGTACAGTGAACTCATTGTCATGTTCAAGAAACCAATTTGAAATGATTAGAGCTTTGTGACATGCTGGAAGTAGCCATCAGAGGATGGGTACATGGTGGCCATAAAGGGATGGACATGGTCAGAAACAATGCTCAGGTAGGCCGTGGCATTTAAACGATGCCCAATTGGCACTAAGGGGCCTAAAGTGTGCCAGGAAAACATCCCCCACACCATTACACCACCACCACCAGCCTGCACAGTGGTAACAAGGCATGATGGTTCCATGTTCTCATTCTGTTTACGCCAAATTCTGACTCTACCATCTGAATGTCTCAACAGAAATCGAGACTCATCAGACCAGGCAACATTTTTCCAGTCTTCAACTGTTCAATTTTGGTGAGCTCTTGCAAATTGTAGCCTCTTTTTCCTATTTGTAGTGGAGATGAGTGGTACCCGGTGGAGTCTTCTGCTGTTGTAGCCCATCCGCCTCAAGGTTGTGCGTGTTGTGGCTTCACAAATGCTTTGCTGCATACCTCGGTTGTAACGAGTGGTTATTTCAGTCACTGTTGCCCTTCTATCAGCTCGAACCAGTCTGGCCATTCTCCTCTGACCTCTGGCATCAACAAGGCATTTCCGCCCACAGGACTGCCGCTCACTGGATGTTTTTTCTTTTTCGGACCATTCTCTGTAAACCCTAGAGATGGTTGTGCGTGAAAATCCCAGTAGATTAGCAGTTTCTGAAATACTCAGACCAGCCCTTCTGGCACCAACAATCATGCCACGTTCAAAGTCACTCAAATCAACTTTCTTCCCCATACTGATGCTCGGTTTGAACTGCAGGAGATTGTCTTGACCATGTCTACATGCCTAAATGCACTGAGTTGCCGCCATGTGATTGGCTGCTTAGAAATTAAGTGTTAACGAGCAGTTGGACAGGTGTACCTAATAAAGTGGCCGGTGAGTGTATATACACATATACACTCACCTAAAGGATTATTAGGAACACCTGTTCAATTTCTCAATGCAATTATCTAATCAACCAATCACATGGCAGTTGCTTCAATGCATTTAGGGGTGTGGTCCTGGTCAAGACAATCTCCTGAACTCCAAACTGAATGTCAGAATGGGAAAGAAAGGTGATTTAAGCAATTTTGAGCGTGGCATGGTTGTTGGTGCCAGACGGGCCGGTCTGAGTATTTCACAATCTGCTCAGTTACTGGGATTTTCACGCACAACCATTTCTAGGGTTTACAAAGAATGGTGTGAAAAGGGAAAAACATCCAGTATGCGGCAGTCCTGTGGGCGAAAATGCCTTGTTGATGCTAGAGGTCAGAGGAGAATGGGCCGACTGATTCAAGCTGATAGAAGAGCAACTTTGACTGAAATAACCACTCGTTACAACCGAGGTATGCAGCAAAGCATTTGTGAAGCCACAACACGCACAACCTTGAGGCGGATGGGCTACAACAGCAGAAGACCCCACCGGGTACCACTCATCTCCACTACAAATAGGAAAAAGAGGCTACAATTTGCAAGAGCTCACCAAAATTGGACAGTTGAAGACTGGAAAAATGTTGCCTGGTCTGATGAGTCTCGATTTCTGTTGAGACATTCAGATGGTAGAGTCAGAATTTGGCGTAAACAGAATGAGAACATGGATCCATCATGCCTTGTTACCACTGTGCAGGCTGGTGGTGGTGGTGTAATGGTGTGGGGGATGTTTTCCTGGCACACTTTAGGCCCCTTAGTGCCAATTGGGCATCGTTTAAATGCCACGGCCTACCTGAGCATTGTTTCTGACCATGTCCATCCCTTTATGGCCACCATGTACCCATCCTCTGATGGCTACTTCCAGCAGGATAATGCACCATGTCACAAAGCTCGAATCATTTCAAATTGGTTTCTTGAACATGACAATGAGTTCACTGTACTAAAATGGCCCCCAGTCACCAGATCTCAACCCAATAGAGCATCTTTGGGATGTGGTGGAACGGGAGCTTCGTGCCCTGGATGTGCATCCCACAAATCTCCATCAACTGCAAGATGCTATCCTATCAATATGGGCCAACATTTCTAAAGAATGCTTTCTGCACCTTATTGAATCAATGCCACGTAGAATTAAGGCAGTTCTGAAGGCGAAAGGGGGTCAAACACAGTATTAGTGTGGTGTTCCTAATAATCCTTTAGGTGAGTGTATATACATAAATATACATATATATACATAAATATTTACTAGTTGTTTCAGACTTGCATAACAGAATCAAAACAATTAAGAAAGCAAAGTTTAATAATAATAAAACATTTTATTTAAAAAAAATCAATAATATCACAGTACATAAAACGGAAGGTCCAGTTTCCGAGAGCGGCAGAGAGAGGAACAGTGAATTATTATGTTAATTATTTCCATCTTTCACAGTAAAATTCATCACGTGCTTCATGATGGTGAGTGTGTGTGTGTGTGTGTGTGTGTGTGTGTGTGTGTGTGTGTGTGTGTGTGTGTGTGTGTGTTGTGTGTGTGACAGCGTTCGGTCATCAGCAGGAACTGCTCAGCGTCTCCTTCAGTTCATCATGAGTGTCACGAATAACTGGAGTCCTGAAACCAGACGTAAACAAGCGCTCAAACACTCCCGAACAAACACTGACGACCAATCAGATCAAGAGCAAACACTGACGACCAATCAGATCAAGAGCAAACACTGAAGACCAATCAGATCAAGAGCAAACACTGACGACCAATCAGATCAAGAGCAAACACTGACGACCAATCAGATCAAGAGCAAACACTGAAGACCAATCAGATCAAGAGCAAACACTGAGTCCTCTCACTCGGCTGTTATCACATTATAGAGGAATCAGCATATTACATATTCCGTTTTTATTTTCATTTCGGCTACATTTTCTGTCAATTTGAATTTTTTTCAAGTTTAATGTATTTCAGTTTTAGTTATTATTTGCAGTTGGTTGGTTATTATCTTGCTTGTTTGCTTACATTTAATTATTATTTTTTTAATTTATTGCAACATTCCATGATGCGTTTAAAATTTTCATCACTGTATGTATGTATTAACTTTTTTATTTTATTTAAATGATAAATCCTTCCATACTTTAGAACTAGTTTTTTTACTTTTAATTTAATTAAATTTTTACTTTAAATATATTTTTATATTTTTTTTACTTATATATATATATATATATATAATATTTTGGTTTGGTTCAATATGTCAGGTTTTGGTTCAAAATATGTTTTGGTTATGAACCAAACATATATTTTTATTCAAAGATCAACAGTCTGTCATTAGTCTTTAGTCTGCCACAAAAAAAATAAAAAAATAAAAAACATTAAAATCATGAACTCAAATGTCATTGTGAAAAAAATGTGTTACTGTTGTAACAGTGCACAGGCTAAATCAGACCTTTCAGGCTATAGCCTAACGCTAATAAGCCTTATGCCAAAATTATTATTACAACTAAATTGTGGTCATTAAATAGGAAAACTAAATAATTGTGTAGATGATTTGCTTCAAGTGTAACCCGACATCAGACATTAAGGCCCGGCCGAAGTATTTTTTTGCGACCAATCAATCACTCCTTTAATGCTGCGTTCACACCAGACGCGAATAGCGCGTCAAATTCGCGCCTACCGCGTATAGTTATATATACGAATCCATTCGCGCGTCAAGAGCGTTTAGACTGGCTGCCTGCACATTCACTGTCCTCGCGGCTGCTGCAACTTGAGGGGGCTGCAGCAGGACGACTCAACTTCCACGGACAGTTTTTAATGTTTTATCAAGATTTTGCTTCAGTATAATTTTCGGGACAATTAAGGCCGGTTTCGGGATTCGGGACAACAGCTTAGATTTCGGGACTGTCCCGAATTTTTCGGGACTTCTGGTCACCCTATTACGTACAAAACCGAAACAAAAGCAGAAACAAACATTTGATTTTTTTTTTTTTTAAAGCAAACTTATTTCATTTTGTCATGTTTAGTTTACGATTTTCATCTATCATCATTTTATTTTATTTCATCTTTATTTCTTAAAAAAATTTAAGTAATAGTTTTCATTTGGGTGAAGGATAATAAACCGGAAGATTCATCACACAGTTATTAGGACTGAATCACTTTAACCAAGGATAATTTCAGCACATGATTCTGACTCGAATCATTTCAGTGATTCAGTGATTCAGTACCTCGCTGGCTCCTCGTACGCGGCGCGGTGAAACGACACGCTTGCGCTCATGGATGTCCTGCAGCCGCGTGATCAGAAACTTCTTATCCCCGCCCTCCTGAATAAACAGAAACAGGAAGTGATGTCATGCTACGCAGCTGCATACAGATGATTCAATCGTTACATAATTGTTTGATTCTTTTGTCTCACATTCTCAATCTGTTCCTGAAGGAGTTCGATGATCTTCCGCTGACCGTCGACCACCTGACTGTGGAAGTAAATCACTATCCTACAAACACACAAAACAAGGAAAATCACCAAAGATCGCTTTAAAGGGGCGGTTGATCATGATGACTCAAAGCTCAGAGCAAAGGGAGAGATTCGCTTTTACAGAAATCACTTTTTAAGGACTACAACAAACGGCTGGCAGGAACTACAATGAGCTTCTTCACCGGTTAGTGACATCACAAACACTAACATTTACATAAGCCCCGCCCCCGGAACACGCTTTATAGATGATCATGACAGAATATGCTAATCAATGACTAGAAGATCGTTAACTCCACATCAGCTGCATAAACTCATCAACTAACCGTTCAGAAATGTCCTGTTGCTTCTAAAAAAGGTCGTTTTTTAATATAACTCTGATTGTGTTCGTCTGAAGAAGAGTGTCATACACACCTAGGATGAGTTGAGGGAGAGTAAATCATGGGCTAATTTTCATTTTTGGGGGAACTGTCCCTTTAACTGGAGAGTTCTGCTGGAGTCTCAAATGACTCACTCTTACTGGACGACTCGTTTGCATCGGTCTTCTTTCCATACGAGGCGGCAAAGCTGATGCTCTAATGAACCTGAGCCGAGAACGGAGATTAAAGCAGACTCACAGGAAGATGGCGGCGCACAGGAACAGGAAGAGAGGGTTTTCCACCAGGTACGCGTGAGCCGAGGCCAGCCAGGACAGATTGGGATTCTCCGCCGCCAGCTCCTGGACCCACAACTTCCCGGCCTGGAACATGGTGTTCAGCCCCCGGAACGGGCCGCACCCGGCCGACGGCTTCACCCTGGGACAGGAGGAGTGCGTCAGATCTCAGACATGCAGAGCCATTAGGAGGTGATATGAACGTTGTGTTACCATAGAAACGGTACTCTAAATTATTTTATAAGGCTCCTCCCCTTTTGGGCATCATCATATTTCATAATTTATGATCAAAACCTTTTCAAAACACATATTGTCCGAAAGGTCTAAGTCTCAAGGTTCCAAATGTTTTGACAGAATTGATATTTGGACAGAAATGTATTAATTTGTTAAGGCAGAATGCACACAACTAAACTCAAAGCAATGTATGTCGCCCGGTGGCTGTGTTTGGTATTACGCCTGATTAAAATCTCATGGGAACTTCAATTTTTGTAAAATCAACTTCAAATTTGGAACACTTGGTTAGATATATGGCTTTTGTTTTAATAGTAATTTTAGAGTAAAAAATAAATTTGATATAAAAGACAGTATATTTGATTTACTGTAAATTTAAACTTCCATAACTTTTTCATACTTTCACTTTTTGAAGTGCTTTATAAGTGGAGCTTTTCTAACCTTTTTAAATGTAAGGGGACGCATACATGTATATTACGCTGCAGGTACATTTGCATAAATAACGATTAATGTAGATTAATAACGAATACTGAAATATTGGGGAAAATGAAATTATACTTTAAATATGAAACGAATGATTCAGATGTTTGAACAAATCGAATGAATGAATGACTCACTCATGAAGGCATTTACCGCCACCTATTGGCAGTTTTAGTTTCTTATTTAGAGTATCATGTCATTAAAATATGTATTTAATATTTCCATATTAATAACAAACCCAATAAAGGTATAGTTTACCCAAAAGTGAAAATTCTGTCGTCGTTTACTCACCGTTGAAGTCTTAAAGTTTATGTGTAATACATTCTATGTTCTATGGTTGGAATTAGAGATGTGCGGTTGGCGGTTACAGCCGCGGATAAACCGCGGATCGGGCGGATGACGGGACGAAAAAAAATATTTTAATTAAATTCGGGCGGGTGGCGGGCGGTTGAACCAATCAAATGAAAAATATACATTGTTAAATATTGTTATCCGACTATACCTACATCCAAAAAAAAAAAAATCGCGCACACTTTGAAATAGTCACATTTTCATCAGTCGAGTCTATGCAGAGACTGCTTGTTGTTATCAGAGATGGCAACGCCGGCGAAGGAGGTACGTGACAAACTCAAAAAAGGAGAATTAAAAACAAAGGAAATAGAAGGTCAGAAAAGTGTTGCCTGGAATAAGTTGTGCGCTCTCTTGATATGCGCCCGTTCGATATTGTTTCTGGTAAAGGATTCCACCAAGTGGCCCAGACGTTGATTGACATTGGAGCTAAGTTCGGTGCTGGACGAGCCTGTTCTGAAGACTCCCGTTAATTTTGAATGCACGGGAAGAGAGCGGAGAGTGCGTCTTTTTCAGGCACAGTGCAATTCATTTTATACCATCAACAGGCCTAACAATCATATAATAAACTATAGAGCCTCGATATTATAGAAACGCCGAAGTCAGTATATAGGCTTTTTCGTTGGTGCGCCATCAGCTATGCCTACAAAAGACAGATGAAATCTAATATTAATAATTGATCCATGTCGGTATACTGTACACAGCCTAATATTTTATAATGAAAAATAGCCTAAACAATCAAGATAGACTATTTACTTTTTAGCCTATTTATTAAATCCAGGAAATTGGTTAATGAAACATGGATTAAAATGAAGATAAAATTAATACAAAACGAAATTCGCTTTAAAGGGATACTCCACTTTTTTTGGAAATAGGCTCATTTTACAACTCCCCCAGAGTTAAACTGTTGAGTTTTACCGTTTTTGAATCCATTCAGCCGATCTCCGGTTCTGGCGGTACCACTTTTAGCATAGCTTAGCATACATCATTGGAGTGGACAAGACCATTAGCATTTCTAAAAGAAAAATGACCAAAGAGTTTCGATATTTTTCCTATTTAAAACTTGACTCTTCTGTAGTTATATCGTGCACTAAGACCGACGGAAAATGTAAAGTTGCGATTTTCTAGGCTGATATGGCTGAACTATACTCTCATTCCTGCGTAATAATCAAGAAACTTCACTGCCGTACCATGAGACCAGCAGGCGTAATGATATGACGCAGCGCCTGAAAATAGTTCCGTTGTGTTGACGGAAGGTGGCCTATTTTCAGGCGCTGCGTCATATCATTACGCCTGCTGGTCTCATGGTACGGCAGTGAAGTTTCTTGATTATTACGCAGGAATGAGAGTATAGTTCAGCCATATCAGCCTAGAAAATCGCAATTTACATTTTCCGTCGGTCTTAGTCCACGATGTAACTACAGAAGAGTCAAGTTTTAAATAGGAAAAATATCAAAACTCTTTGGTCATTTTTCTTTAGAAATGCTAATGGTCTTGTCCACTCCAATGATGTATGCTAAGCTATGCTAAAAGTGGTACCGCCAGAACCGGAGATCGGCTGAATGGATTCAAAAACGGTAAAACTCAACAGTTTAACTCTGGGGGAGTTGTAAAATGAGCCTATTTCCAAAAAAAGTGGAGTATCCCTTTAAAGAAAGCCTCTGTGAAAGTTTGAAAGTCTTTTAGTGCCGCTTTCTGAGTGTTCGCGTCTGTAATGGAGAACTGTCACGTAACATTGTTGGCGCCCCATAATAGCAGCATGTTGAAATTATGTGCCAAAATGTGTTTTTTATTAGGCTACAATGAAAATATTGTACAGTAGCCTATCAGATAAGGTCAGGTTTGCCGAAGTGCGTTTAATTTAGGGTATTTATTTATTTTTGTCCCTGCGCGCCGATCGGAGACGGAGTTTACTGCTGATATAATGAGAGCTTTCTAGTCTCGCGGCTGTCATCAGCAGCGCCTTGTATCGCCCAATCAGCGGATGGCGGGCGGGTGCGGATTTGAAAATTGGTCAAAAATGTTGGTGCGGATGGATGGCGGACGGATGATGAGTTTTGTGATGCGGTTGCGGATGAAATAATAGCCCATCCGCGCATCTCTAGTTGGAATGACAATAAAGCACTTATATATTTAATCAACATTTGTATACGAGTAGATTATTATTTCTCGATCATGTTTATCTGCTGTTCATGGGATTATAGTTCTTTCCCTCACTGGTCAGATTTTCAAATATATTTTTTGCTTCAAATCAAAGTCTGTAGTGTTGTGATTCTCCTTAAAATCCCCATAGTGGAGAATACATGGAAAATAGTTCTGGAGCAGCGGAGCTGACAGGTGTGTGTGTGTGTGTGTGTGTGTGTGTGTGTATGCGCTCTATATGGAGAGGAACTGCTTCTCATGGGGTTGAAGGTCAGTGCAACATTTTCAGGAGCGTCTGGATCAACATCCGCATAAAAATTCCCAGCGGCGCATTTCATAGGATCTCTCTCTCTCACACACACACACACACACACACACACACACACTGTCTCACACACACACACACACACACATACTCTCTCTCTCACACACACACACACACACTTTCTCTCTCTCACACACACACATACACACTCTGTCACACACAAACACACTCACACACACATACACTCTCACACACTCTCTCACACACTTACACACACAATCTCACAAACACGCACTCTCACAAACACACACTCAGACACACACACATACACACACACTCACTCTCACACTTTCTCTCTCACACACATACTCTCTCTCTCTCTCTAACACACACATTCTCTCTCTCTCTCTCACACACACACTCACGTCCACATGGTGTAGGTCACACACACGGAGGCGCCCAGGAACGACGGGAAGCACAGGAGTGTGATGAAGATGGTGGTCATCTGAGAGGCTCGCCACGGCTTTCCCGACGCCTGACAGTTCATCATCAGACTGACCTGCGACACACACACCACAATCACAGACCAGTTCCAATCATTCCAGTGAATCGGCTCACAAATGATTCCTCCGAATCATTCCAGCGAATCGGTTCGCAAATGATTCCTCCGAATCATTCCAGTGAATCGGTTTGCAAATAATTATTCTGAATCATTCTAGTGATTCGGTTCGCAAATGATTCCTCCGAATCATTCTAGTGAATCGGTTCACAAATGATTCTTATGAGTCATTGTTAAAAAAAAAAATCCTGCAGGTTATTTGTCTAAACAAACACAATAAATGATGTTGATGATTGTGAGCAGACAAACAAACCTTTTTCATGTAGAAGAGAAACAGCAGTTTAATAATCTGAACCACAGGCAGGAGAGGAGAGAACAATACGCCCAACCTACACACACACACACACACACACACACACATACACGTGCTGTTATATCACATCACTGACCAACAGTCAGTTACAGTCAGGTAATGATGGATGTTTACCAGGCCAGAGTTTGTCCATAGATGAGCTCCAGAACATTCCTCGCGATATCAAACACGGGTTTCCTCTTCCTCTTCAGAGCTTTCTGAGAAAACAACCTGACAGAGAGAAACACACAACAAAAATGATTTCAGCCCAATTACATTTTTTAATTATTAGCAACAACAATCGTGAGCTCATACTGTATATGATCAGCTGCTCACCTCCACAGAAACTCTCCAAAGAAAGTGTCCAGCAACATGAAGATGAAGTCCATCAGGAGGAAGCGGTACAGTTCCTGACCGACGAAACTCTCCCAGCACTGAAACAGCAAAACCACCATCAAAACCATCAAATCTACCATCAAAACCATCAAATCCACCATAAAAACCATAAAAACCAAAACCACCATCAAAACCATCAAATCCACCATCAAAACCAAAACCACCATCAAAACCATCAAATCCACCATCAAAACCATCAAATCTACCATCAAAACCATCAAATCCACCATAAAAACCATCAAAACCAAAACCACCATCAAAACCATCAAATCCACCATCAAAACCAAAACCACCATCAAAACCATCAAATCCACCATCAAAACCATCAAAACCATCATCACCAACATCAAAACCTTCATCACCACCACCATCAAAACCAACATCAAAACCATCAAATCCATCATCAAAACCATCAAATCCACCATCAAAACCATCAAAACCATCATCCCCACCATCAAAACCATCATCACCACTATCAAATCCACCATCAAAACCAAAACCAACATTAAAACCATCAAATCCACCATCAAAACCAAAACCACCATCAAAACCATCAAATCCACCATCAAAACCATCATCACCACCATCAAAACCATCATCACCAACATCAAAACCTTCATCACCACCACCATCAAAACCATCATCATAACCATCAAACCCACCATCAAAACCATCAAATCCACCATCAAAACCATCAAAACCATCATCCCCACCATCAAAAACAACATCATAACCATCAAACCCACCATCAAATCCACCATCAAAACCATCATCCCCACCATCAAAACCATCATCACCACCATCAAAACCATCAAATCCACCATCAAAACCATCAAATCCACCATCAAAACCATCAAAACCATCATCCCCACCATCAAAAACAACATCATAACCATCAAACCCACCATCAAATCCACCATCAAAACCATCATCCCCACCATCAAAACCATCATCACCACCATCAAAACCATCAAATCCACCATCAAAACCATCATCACCACTATCAAAACCAACATCAAAACCAACATCAAAACCATCACCACATCAAAACCATCCCCACCACCATCACATCAAAACCATCACCATCAAAACCATCACCATCACATCAAAACCATCACCGCCACCATCAAAACCATCATCAAATCCACCATCAAAACCATCATCACCAGCATCAAAACCACCATCACCACCACCATCAAAACCATCATCAAAACAATCATCAACCAGTGCATCACCAGTGAACAGTGAAAAGACCTTCTCAAACAGTGTCGCGCCAAAATCATAACGCATATCATAACAAAAATAAACACCGGTATTCGCAATGAACCGGTATACCGCCCTGCACTCAGGATACGTTTACACAACAACGATATGCTTAAATCGGGGAAGTTTTACCTTTGAGTTTTTCGTGTACAGTACATTGTCAAAACGATCCCCATTCACACGGAACCGCAAAAACGACTAAAAACGCTGCATTCTGCTGCCAGGCCACTAGATGGCGATGAAACACTGAAGACTGAACACGTAACACGCATGTGCATGACATCATCGTCTTCAGAGATTCACGTTTTTGTTGTTTACACGGAGACTGTTCTCAAAAACTTGCACTTTGAAAGTTTCTTTGTTTTCAGGCACCAAAAACACCACTGTCGTGTAAACAAACGGCCAAAACACATAAAAAGTTTTACGTTTTTAGTTGAAACCTCACCTGTAAGCCCAGCGTCTTGGGGTCTGATGCCACGCGACCCAACCAATGATGGCACAGCACTCCCAACACACTCACTTTCAACAACAGGTTCCTGCGACACACATCATACATGATGAATATAAGAAAAGCATTTAACAACACATGAAGTTAATCAGTGCAACAGATGCTTCCTGGTGAAGTCCCTTTCAAATCTCCATGTAGAAACTGTTTTATAAGATTTGAGATTGTTAGTTTCCCTTTTTATAGAGTCAAAAGCTTTTACGTCATCGCACTGCAAAAACTTACTCGACGACTCAATGCAAGTATTTTGAATACATAATTTCAAAATTAATACAGGAGAGGGAGGAAAGAGGAAAAAGGAAGGGAGGAGGAAGGGAGAAAAAAAAAGAAAGAAAAAAAAGTCAGCTACTTCCTTCATGACCATATGTTGTTTGGGAAAATCATTTAACTTAATTTAATACAAAATGTAAATAAACAAAACAATTTTTAATGAAAACAATTATTGTCAATAAAAAAAAGTTTAATAGACAGTAGACGGTCAGAAACGCACAGAAGACGTTCAGGAAACGCTCAGAAAACGCTCAGGAAACGCTCAGGAAACGCTCAGGAAACGCTCAGAATTGTTTTATTGACAATTATTGTCAATAAAAAAAAAAGTTTAATAGACAGTAGACGGTCAGAAACGCACAGAAGACGTTCAGGAAACGCTCAGGAAACGCTCAGGAAACGCACAGAAGACGCTCAGGAAACGGACAGAAGACGCTCAGGAAACGGACAGAAGACGCTCAGGAAACGCTCAGGAAACGTTCAGGAAACGCTCAGGAAACGCTCAGGAAACACTCAGGATTGTTTTATTGACAATTATTGTCAATAAAAAAAAGTTTAATAGACAGTAGACGGTCAGAAACGCACAGAAGACGTTCAGGAAACGCTCAGGAAACGCTCAGAATTGTTTTATTGACAATTATTGTCAATAAAAAAAAGTTTAATAGACAGTAGACGGTCAGAAACGCACAGAAGACGTTCAGGAAACGCTCAGGAAACGCTCAGGAAACGCACAGAAGACGCCGAGGAAACGCTCAGGAAACGCTCAGGAAACGCTCAGGAAACGCTCAGGAAACGCTCAGGAAACGCTCAGGAAACGCTCAGGAAACGCTCAGGAAACGCTCAGTAAACGCTCAGGAAACGCTCAGGAAACGCTCAGGAAACGCTCAGGAAACGCTCAGGAAACGCTCAGGAAACGCTCAGGAAACGCTCAGGAAACGCTCAGGAAACGCACAAAAGACGCTCAGGAAACGCTCAGTAAAGCTCAGAAAACGCTCAGGAAACGCTCAGGAAACGCACAGAAGACGCTCAGGAAACGCTCAGGAAACGCACCGAAGACGCTCAGGAGACGCTCAGGAAACGCTCAGGAAACGCTCAGGAAACGCTCAGGAAACGCTCAGGAAACGCTCAGAAGACGCTCAGGAAACGCTCAGGAAACGCTCGATCTCCTCTAGGTGTGAGTCGTGAGTGTGGGCCCGGGCTCAGAGGAAGATTTCGGCCCCTTGATGTGGAGCTTCAGGAAGGCGTGTAGGAGTGCTTCGGGAAGCTCCGAGTGGAAGTGTGTGTGGAGTTCTGCCGTAGCTCTACCTGCCAATGGAGACGTAGTTGAGCATGCTGGGAGAATCGTACTCCTCCATCCAGGCCACGGCGTTGAAGAACCCCGGCAGGATCAGGTTGATGCCGGACACGAGGACGGGAACGGCCAGCAGACTCGCCTCCTTCAGCAGCAGCCCGTCAGACGAGCCCGGTCCCGTGCGCGAGCGCGCTTCAGCGGCTTTCTGCAACTACACACATCTCAGCTTGAGCCGCCGTTCCCGCTCTCGTGCACAGGCATATGCAGATACACATTATCTTAGGAATAGAGTATTTTATCGATTAATCGGATAAAAATTTGTGGTAATAAAAAAAAACAAGTTAACAACAGCCTTTAAAATGACTTAAAATACAAATATATACTAACAAGCAATAAAAATTGGTTCAAATATCATATGGGTTTTATTGAACGACACTGTTAAAATACACCATGTAAAATATGATATAAAGTAATAACTTATGTAGATTATGTATTATAACAGTGAAATATTAATCGTATTACAATATTACAGTGAAATATTAATCCCGTACCTTGTGCATGCGTGTGTTAATCCCGTATCTTGTGCATGTGTGTGTTAATCCCATACCTTGTGCATGCGTGTGTTAATCCCGTACCTTGTGCATGTGTGTGTTAATCCCGTACCTTGTGCATGCGTGTGTTAATCTCGTACCTTGTGCATGCGTGTGTTAATCCCGTACCTTGTGCATGCGTGTGTTAATCCCGTACCTTGTGCATGCGTGTGTTAATCCCGTACCTTGTGCATGCGTGTGTTAATCTCGTACCTTGTGCATGTGTGTGTTAATCCCGTACCTTGTGCATGCGTGTGTTAATCCCGTACCTTGTGCATGTGTGTGTTAATCTCGTACCTTGTGCATGCGTGCGTTAATCCCGTACCTTGTGCATGCGTGTGTTAATCCCGTACCTTGTGCATGCGTGTGTTAATCTCGTACCTTGTGCATGTGTGTGTTAATCCCGTACCTTGTGCATGCGTGTGTTAATCCCGTACCTTGTGCATGTGTGTGTTAATCCCGTACCTTGTGCATGCGTGTGTTAATCCCGTACCTTGTGCATGCGTGTGTTAATCTCGTACCTTGTGCATGTGTGTGTTAATCCCGTACCTTGTGCATGCGTGTGTTAATCCCGTACCTTGTGCATGTGTGTGTTAATCCCGTACCTTGTGCATGCGTGTGTTAATCCCGTACCTTGTGCATGTGTGTGTTAATCTCGTACCTTGTGCATGTGTGTGTTAATCTCGTACCTTGTGCATGCGTGTGTTAATCTCGTACCTTGTGCATGTGTGTGTTAATCCCGTACCTTGTGCATGTGTGTTAATCTCGTACCTTGTGCATGCGTGTGTTAATCCCGTACCTTGTGCATGCGTGTGTTAATCTCGTACCTTGTGCATGCGTGTGTTAATCCCGTACCTTGTGCATGCGTGTGTTAATCCCGTACCTTGTGCATGTGTGTGTTAATCTCGTACCTTGTGCATGTGTGTGTTAATCTCGTACCTTGTGCATGCGTGTGTTAATCTCGTACCTTGTGCATGTGTGTGTTAATCCCGTACCTTGTGCATGTGTGTTAATCTCGTACCTTGTGCATGTGTGTGTTAATCTCGTACCTTGTGCATGCGTGTGTTAATCTCGTACCTTGTGCATGCGTGTGTTAATCTCGTACCTTGTGCATGCGTGTGTTAATCCCGTACCTTGTGCATGTGTGTGTTAATCTCGTACCTTGTGCATGTGTGTGTTAATCTCGTACCTTGTGCATGCGTGTGTTAATCTCGTACCTTGTGCATGTGTGTGTTAATCTCGTACCTTGTGCATGTGTGTGTTAATCTCGTACCTTGTGCATGTGTGTGTTAATCCCGTACCTTGTGCATGTGTGTTAATCTCGTACCTTGTGCATGTGTGTGTTAATCTCGTACCTTGTGCATGCGTGTGTTAATCTCGTACCTTGTGCATGCGTGTGTTAATCTCGTACCTTGTGCATGTGTGTGTTAATCTAATCTCGTACCTTGTGCATGTGTGTGTTAATCTCGTACCTTGTGCATGTGTGTGTTAATCCCGTACCTTGTGCATGTGTGTGTTAATCTCGTACCTTGTGCATGCGTGTGTTAATCTCGTACCTTGTGCATGCGTGTGTTAATCTCGTACCTTGTGCATGCGTGTGTTAATCTCGTACCTTGTGCATGCGTGTGTTAATCTCGTACCTTGTGCATGTGTGTGTTAATCTCGTACCTTGTGCATGTGTGTGTTAATCTCGTACCTTGTGCATGAGTGTGTTAATCTCGTACCTTGTGCATGCGTGTGTTAATCTCGTACCTTGTGCATGTGTGTTAATCTCGTACCTTGTGCATGTGTGTGTTAATCCCGTACCTTGTGCATGTGTGTGTTAATCTCGTACCTTGTGCATGCGTGTGTTAATCTCGTACCTTGTGCATGTGTGTGTTAATCTCGTACCTTGTGCATGCGTGTGTTAATCTCGTACCTTGTGCATGCGTGTGTTAATCTCGTACCTTGTGCATGCGTGTGTTAATCTCGTACCTTGTGCATGCGTGTGTTAATCCCGTACCTTGTGCATGTGTGTGTTAATCCCGTACCTTGTGCATGTGTGTGTTAATCCCGTACCTTGTGCATGTGTGTGTTAATCTCGTACCTTGTGCATGCGTGTGTTAATCTCGTACCTTGTGCATGCGTGTGTTAATCTCGTACCTTGTGCATGCGTGTGTTAATCTCGTACCTTGTGCATGTGTGTGTTAATCCCGTACCTTGTGCATGCGTGTGTTAATCCCGTACCTTGTGCATGCGTGTGTTAATCTCGTACCTTGTGCATGTGTGTGTTAATCCCGTACCTTGTGCATGCGTGTGTTAATCCCGTACCTTGTGCATGTGTGTGTTAATCCCGTACCTTGTGCATGCGTGTGTTAATCCCGTACCTTGTGCATGTGTGTGTTAATCTCGTACCTTGTGCATGTGTGTGTTAATCTCGTACCTTGTGCATGCGTGTGTTAATCTCGTACCTTGTGCATGTGTGTGTTAATCCCGTACCTTGTGCATGTGTGTTAATCTCGTACCTTGTGCATGCGTGTGTTAATCCCGTACCTTGTGCATGCGTATGTTAATCTCGTACCTTGTGCATGCGTGTGTTAATCCCGTACCTTGTGCATGCGTGTGTTAATCCCGTACCTTGTGCATGTGTGTGTTAATCTCGTACCTTGTGCATGTGTGTGTTAATCTCGTACCTTGTGCATGTGTGTGTTAATCTCGTACCTTGTGCATGCGTGTGTTAATCTCGTACCTTGTGCATGCGTGTGTTAATCTCGTACCTTGTGCATGCGTGTGTTAATCTCGTACCTTGTGCATGCGTGTGTTAATCTCGTACCTTGTGCATGTGTGTGTTAATCTCGTACCTTGTGCATGTGTGTGTTAATCTCGTACCTTGTGCATGAGTGTGTTAATCTCGTACCTTGTGCATGCGTGTGTTAATCTCGTACCTTGTGCATGTGTGTTAATCTCGTACCTTGTGCATGTGTGTGTTAATCCCGTACCTTGTGCATGTGTGTGTTAATCTCGTACCTTGTGCATGCGTGTGTTAATCTCGTACCTTGTGCATGTGTGTGTTAATCTCGTACCTTGTGCATGCGTGTGTTAATCTCGTACCTTGTGCATGCGTGTGTTAATCTCGTACCTTGTGCATGCGTGTGTTAATCTCGTACCTTGTGCATGTGTGTTAATCTCGTACCTTGTGCATGTGTGTGTTAATCCCGTACCTTGTGCATGTGTGTGTTAATCTCGTACCTTGTGCATGCGTGTGTTAATCTCGTACCTTGTGCATGTGTGTGTTAATCTCGTACCTTGTGCATGCGTGTGTTAATCCCGTACCTTGTGCATGTGTGTGTTAATCTCGTACCTTGTGCATGCGTGTGTTAATCTCGTACCTTGTGCATGTGTGTGTTAATCTCGTACCTTGTGCATGCGTGTGTTAATCTCGTACCTTGTGCATGTGTTCAGAGAAGTAGAAGACGGCCAGAACACACGCCAGCGTGCTTCCCAAACACATGAGCCACGCCAGCATGTGGATGAAGACCCGGAACAAGCGCTGGAGAACAGAGAACTTCAGCTCCTCACGGTTCACTTCTGCCACCAGCTCCTACACACACACACACACACACACACACACACACACACACACACACGTCTCCTTCATTTATACAGCGCTGTGACAATATAGAGTTTCACAGCAGCTTTACAGTGATAACAGGAGATTACAGTAACAGAGATTGTTTGGCTTTACAGCAGCTCTAGAATAAAGTTATTGTCCAGATAAAGTTATTTTTAAATGATTCACTTCCGTTGCAAAGATCATTAGTTATTAATTTTTTTTTATCTCTGCGCAAGCTTTAAAAACGCAAACCTGTGGAAACGCTGACGCCGCACACATGCGCATCACGTGTTTAGTCTATAGATATGAGGTTTGTATATATATATATATTGTATATAATATATATGTGCGCAGGCGTGTCTTTCTTTACAAATTTACCTCACCATATTACTTGTCTGGCCTTAAAATTCATAATACAGAATTATTTATCACTTAATATTAAATCGCTAGATAACAGAGCTGAAGTGTGCCATACGTGTGTGTGTATGTGTGTGAGAGAGTGTGTGTGTGTTCTGACATTGAGCTGTGTGTCTGTGTGTGTGTGTGTGTGAGAGAGAGTGTGTGTGTGTGTGTGTGTGTGTGTGTGTTCTGACCTTGAGCTGTGTGTCTGTGTGTGAGTGTGTGTGAGAGAGTGTGTGTGAGAATGTGTGTGTGAGTGTGTTCTGACCTTGAGCTGTGTGCCGATGTTCGCTCGCTGGAGTCTGACGGAGCTTTTCTTGCTGACTTTAAAGTCCCACGAGCTGAACACCTTTATGGCCAACAGGCCTTTAGATTTATCGATGCGAAAGCTCTGGCCGAAGGACTTGGACATGCTGGAACACAAACACACACAGAGAGCCAGTGTATTCCACGACTTCAGCCACGAGGACAGTATTACTATAAACACAGTCGGTTTTTGCTGTCATGCAGGAATGTAAAAACATTTGCATTTGCATACACTACAAGCCAAAACTTTAATGTTTTTAATAAAAGAAGTCAAGGCTGCGTTTATTTGATCATAAATACAGTAAAACAGTGTAATATTACTCCAGTGTAAATCAGCTGTTTTCTATGTGAATATACAGTAAAGTGTAATTTATTCCTGTGATCAAAGCTGAATTTCAGCATCATTACTCCAGTCTTCAGTGTCACATGATCCTTCAGAAATCACTCTAATATGAGGATCTGATGCTCAATTATTATTATGTATTATTTTTGGTGCTCAATTAATAATATTGATTCTTATTTGAAGTTATAAAGTTATAAAAAAAAGTTTTTGTTGCTTTATATTTTTGTGTAAACCATGACTGAAGACTGGAGTAATGATGCTGAAAATTCAGCTTTGATCACAGGAATAAATGACACTTTACTGTATATTCACCGTTATTTTACATTGGAATAATATTTTTACAGTATTTTTGATCAAATAAATTCATCCTTAGTGAACATTAAATCGTAATTATTCCAAACTTTTGGCCGTTAGTGTATATTTACATTGCGTTAATGCATTTGACACACATTCTACTGTACAGTTCATGCATTTCCTGCACTTTAAAAAAGTTTAAGTTTAAGTCTTTGCAGTGTTTATTGTAAATGATTTATAGGTGCACATCATCACTATTGTGTTAATAATGTTGAATCAGAATCAGTTCCTCTTCAGCATCTCTTCTCTTCTCTGATGACGAGGGCGGGGCTATAACCTGTCACTCACATGAGATCAGCCAATAGCAAACCACAACCATCCAACCAGCCAATCAACTCCCCACAGACACAATCAAGCCCCGCCCACATGTGTTCTTGTTCCAGAAGCGTTTCACTCTGATATACGACACAATAGAGGAGAGAAGACCAGCGCAACTTCCGACTTTCATGCCGACTTGTTCTCCTGAGTTGAAATGTAAAGTTGATGTTGTCAGGAGACTCACGTGTAGACGAGGATGATGCAGGTGATGAAGAACGCAGCGCCGATGGTGAAGAAGTAGACCAGAGGCATGTTATAGGACAGTCCATATTCACACGACGTCCCGTTCCCCGTTCCAGAGCATCTGCGTTTCGCTTGTAGTGTTTGATGACTGTAGTAACCGTAATACAGCAGAGAGTCTGAGAAATAACCCTGAGCACACACACACACACACACACACACACACACACACACACACACACACAATAGTGAAATCTCAGTGGGATTTACCTGGTTAAATAAAGGATAAATAAATCAAATAAATAAACACTGTTGTGATTGTTGATTGTAACAAGTGAGCATTTCATGCAGGAATGGAAGCAGATCTGAATGTGATTGGCTGAACTGCAACGTGGCCTTTATCAAAGATACATTTGAAACTTTATGATAAGTTATGACATTTTGAATAAAGAAACTGTAAAAAGATGAGACCAAAATAAATACAAAAATAAATAAGGTCAATTTTGATTTCATGCAAACTTTTTATGAACTGATTTAAAAATCAATCTGAATTCTGGTCATTTTGAATTACTATTTTAATGATTTATTTATTTTAAGTTATTATAAGCTATATTTCAGCTATATTTTGATGTCAGAGCATTTGTGGAAACTGATTCACTACCATTGAACAGTTTGGGGTCAGTAAGTATAAATGTATATAAATATATATATAAAAATACTTTTATTCATCAAGCACGCTTTAAATTGATCAAAAGTGACAAACATATTTATAATGTTACAAAAGCTTCTATTTCAAATAAATGCAGAACTTTTGAACTTTCTATTCATCAAAGAATCCTGAAAAATAAAATGTGTCACTGTTTCCAACACTGATAATAATCATAAATGTGTCTTGATCATCAGATCCTCATATTAGAGTGATTTCTGAAGGATCATGTGACACTGAAGACTGGAGTAATGATGCTGAAATTCAGCTTTGATCACAGGAATAAATTACACTTTATTATATATTCACATAGAAAACAGCTGATTTACATTGTAATAATATTTTAATATTTTTTTATCAAATAAATACAGCCTTGAGCAGAAGAGACTGTTTCAAAAACATAAAAAAAAACGTAATTATTCCAAACTTTTGACCTGTAATGTTTGTTCCACATTGCAAACCGTAGTTAAAGTTTGACATTTGTGAATATCAGAGTGTATAAGTGTGTGTGTGTGTGTTTCTGAACTCACGGCGCCCGTCAGCACCTCCAGCCCCCACAAGCTCGTGACGCTGGTGTTCTGGTCCCGGTCCGGAACCACGACGGCCTGAGGAACCACCAGGAACAAACCCGTGACCAGGAACAGGAAGACGTTGAAGAAGAGGAGCGTTCGGAGGAAGAGGAAATACGACAGGACGCCCGTCCCGAAGTGACCGCCGACACACTTCAGAGCCGTTTGCCACAGCTGGAGCGAGGACAGGAACGACAGCCAGCCGTACCAGCCGTGGCGCACCGCCTGACGGACGACACACAGCTGTTACTACAGCGCCACCTAGAGGCACATTCACATGTGTGTGACCCTGGACCCTTTTTTAAAATTGAGATTTATACATCATCTGAAAGCTGAATAAATAAGCTTTCCATTGATGTATGGTTTGTTAGGATATGATAATATTCGGCATTCATGTTGGCGATTGTGCTGCATTCACTCACAAAAATACATGTTTTATATATTTATGGTAGGAAATTTACAAAATATCTTCATGGAACATGATTTTTCCTTAATATCCTAATGATTTTTGGCATTAATATTGACTATTGACTAATTGAATTTTGAGCCATACAATGTATAGTTGGCTATTAATGTGATCCAGGGTCTCATATTCATTTTCACACAATGCAAAAAGTATCCGAGTCATGTTAGAGAATATGTTAGAATGCCCAACAAAGAAGATGGATACCAATATTCAGCTTCATGGATCATACAGTTGGGAAGTTATAGAGTGAGAGAGAGTGAGAGAGAGAGTGATAGAGTGAGAGAGAGTGAGAGAGACAGTGATAGAGTGAGAGAGAGTGATAGAGAGTGATAGAGAGTGATAGAGAGAGAGAGAGTGATAGAGAGTGATAGAGAGTGATAGAGAGAGAGAGAGAGTGATAGAGAGTGATAGAGTGAGAGAGAGTGAGAGAGTGAGAGAGAGTGATAGAGAGTGATAGAGAGTGATAGAGAGAGAGAGAGTGATAGAGAGTGATAGAGAGTGATAGAGAGAGAGAGAGTGAGAGAGAGAGTGATAGAGTGAGAGAGAGTGAGAGAGTGAGAGAGAGTGATAGAGTGAGAGAGAGTGAGAGAGAGAGTGATAGAGTGAGAGAGAGTGAGAGAGACAGTGATAGAGTGAGAGAGAGTGATAGAGAGTGATAGAGAGAGAGAGAGAGAGAGAGAGAGTGATAGAGAGTGATAGAGAGTGATAGAGAGAGGCTTAAAAACATATTTATTTGATCATTTATCATATATCATTCCAATATTTCACCCAAAAAAAAAAACTGCAAAAACATAAATAAATTAAAAATAAATTAAAACACAATCCAATCAATACAGATTACAGCCCTTTCATTACATCTTTAAAACCAACATTTCATCCTCCCCAACCTCACACAAAAAACTTCCCACTGACCACAATGCAGAAAAATCCATAATATTATTAACTAATTTGAAATAAGCAAACTCAATTTTAATCCGAGCAGCCACCATCCCCTTCAGAACTCTCTCTGCATCAACTGAACCAGCTCCCAAGATCCTGTTTTTACGTGTCTTCCAAATTGCCATCTTGGCTGTTCCCAAAAAGTAATTTAACAAAACCACTTTTCTTCTATCGCTGACTTTGTACTTTGGACCACTAATAAAAACTTGATAGGAAAATTCCTCACCCATTCTTTCAAAACAAACCTCTAAAAAGTTAAAAAGACCTCCTAACCTCCCACAATGGATAAACAAGTGATCAACCGTTTCCTCCGTTCCACAAAAAGGACATTCCCTCCCTACTTCTGGATTCAGGTGCGCCACGTGTCTGTTCGTAGCTATTATACCATACATCAGTCTCCACTGTAAATCTGCTGTACGCTTCTCAATAGGAGGTTTGTACAGAGATCTCCAGCATCCTCTGAAGCCTGGCCCAAACACTTCTGTCCACCTCCATGTTTTAACTCTTCTCAAAACAGTTTGATGAGACACTTTAACACACACAATGTATAATGCCTTTTTGCCAAGATCTTGAAATAATCCCAACTCTGGAGTTTTAAAGGACACAAAGGAGTCTTCACCCTCCGCCCTCTCCAGTGCAGCAGAGACCCGTATTGCTGGAAACCTGTAGCTCCATCCCTGCGAAGGCGCTCCCAATGCTTCTCTGCAGGCTCCAGGCAGCGCTGAGCGCACTTCATCCAGCATCCGACCCACCAGACGTAAAGAACGTAATCCTGTCTTGTGCTGAATTGAAACTGCCGTCATCCACCCATTGTCATCCCTTAGATGTTCGATCTTCGTACACCCCGCTCTGACCAGACAGTTCCTCACACTGCTTGAGGACAAAATGTTTGTTTGTATCAAAGAGTTATGAAACAGGGGTTCTCCCATAATCCAGTCCTGGGGTCGCAAAATCTCTCTGGTCACAGAAAACGTCCTGTTCCACACCTTTAGCATGGACTGGTAGAATGAAGTCACATGATTCAAATCCAGCTCATTAACTTGCAGTAAAAACAGCTGCTTGTCGTATCCCAGATTCGATGTTCCTCTCAACAGAGCGCATGCCACACCCGTCCACCCTACGTCCTCCTCATACAAAAGTCTCTGCGCTGCCTGCAACCGAAAGGTGTTGATCCTGCTCCTTATTTCGATCAGACCTTGTCCCCCCTCTTGAGTTGGAAGATATAGAGCTGACGCAGGAATCCAATGCTGTCCTGACCAAAAGAACTCCACCAACTTTCTCTGGATACTTTTGACAATGTCATCTGGTGGCTCTAAAACGTTGAGTCTGTGCCATAACATGGAGGCGGCCAGGTTATTTGTAACCAAAACTCTACCCCTATAGGATAGCTCTGGCAATAGCCATTTCCATTTAGACAACTTAGCAGACACCTTCTCCAGCAAACCCTCCCAATTCTTTTTTCTATAGTTTTCTACTCCTAAAAACACTCCGAGAATTTTTATACCTTCTCTTCCCCAATGCAATCCCCCAGGAAGTGGAGGTGGCCCACCATTTCCCCACTGGCCCACAATAAAACCATTACTTTTCCCCCAATTGACCTTAGCTGTAGACGCTTTCTCATAAACATCCAAACTCTCACATAAAATTTGTATATCTTCTTGCTCAGTAACAAAAATAGTTACATCGTCAGCATAAACCGACACAAAGCATCTCGACTCCCTAGGGTCACCTGGAACTACAAAACCCTTTAAACCATTTCTTAATTTGCATAACAGGGGCTCAATTGCTAGACTATAGAGTTGGCCTGAGAGAGGACACCCTTGTCGAATACCTCTTTTCACCGGCAATGGATAAGTCAAACCATTCCCCATCTTAAGCATTATTGAAGCCCCTTTATACAATAACTTGATCCATGAAATAAAACAATTCCCGAACCCAAAAGACTCCAAGACTTTAAAAATGTACTCATGACCCACCCGATCAAAAGCTTTCTCCTGATCAATAGACAGAAATCCAACATTGCAATTTTCAATAATAGACACATCAATAACATCTCTTATTAAAAACAGATTGTCCATGATTGTACGACCCGGAATACAATAAGTTTGTTCTCCTTTGACCACAATGTGCAAGTATTTTTTTAACCTATTGGCTAAAACTTTTGCCAATATTTTATAGTCCGAGCACATCAAAGAAACAGGGCGCCAATTTTTTAAAAAACCCAGATCTCCATTTTTTGGTAAAAGGGAGATCACAGCCCTCTGACAGCTAGATGGTAACATTCCCTTTTCAAAACATTCACAACAAACTTCATAAAAATCTTCACCTAAAACAGTCCAAAAAGTCTTGTAAAATTCAGCAGGCAAACCATCTATTCCTGGCGCACGCCCTGTGGAGAGCTGCTGAACTGCATCTGAAAGCTCGTTAAGGCTGATCATGGTGTCAAGCTTTTTCTTATCCCCAGGTTGCAACTTTGGAAGTCCTTGTAATAGTTGTGCCATGTTCTCAGAATCACAGTCAGTATGTCCATACAAGTCAGCATAAAAATCCATAGCCATTTTCCTCATTTCTGTCGGATTAGATGTTAAGATTTCATTTTCCTTGCGCAGGTGAAGTATGCGCTTTTGCTGTGCAACTTTCCGCTCCAGATTAAAAAAATAAGAAGTGGGAGAGTCAATGTCCTTGATAGAAGAAATTCTTGCTCGAATTAAAGCGCCCTTCGCTCTTTCCTCTAAGATGGATCTTAATTCAAGTTTCTTATTCCTTAAATCATTAGATACACCCAAAACATTTACATCAATCACATTTTCCATATCAATAATTTCCTTCTCCAACTGCTCAATTTTCTTTTTAACACACACAGTAGTATTGTAGGAAAAATTTTGACAAAAAACCTTTATCTGTGTTTTCCCCACCTCCCACCATTGTGCTATTTTTTCAAAATTACCTTTATTCAACTTCCACAATTTCCAAAAATCACCAAACTTTTCACAAAAAGACCTATCCTGCAGCAACTTAGTGTTGAAATGCCAATAGAACTTGGGGCGTGTTAAAGTAATAATGTTAAAATCTATGATTGCAATATGATGATCCGAAAACCCGGTAGGGAAAATGTTAGCATTAGATACTCTATTCATGCTTGTTTTACTTATATATATTCGATCTAATCTTGCTCCAGTTACATTAGAATCTAGTATTTTAACCCATGTATACTGTCTAATTCTCTTATTCATGTTCCTCCACACATCCATCAAGTCAAACTCATTAATAATATTCTGAAGAGCATTACTAGACGGTGGATGAGACTCCTCTCTGTTCCTGTCTAACAGAAAATTTGTAGTGCAATTCCAATCCCCACCCATTATTATGCAAGAATCATTATCACATTTTCTTAATGCACTCTGCAACTTCCCAAAAACTTCCACACGATCTGAGCCATTGTTTGGAGCATAAACATTTATGAAAATAAATTTTAAGTCATTTATCTCCCCAGCAACCATTAAAACTCTACCCTTTTCTATCTCTTCAGTTGACAAAATTCTCAAGTTCAAATTATTTGAAAAAAGAATAGCCACTCCAGCACTCAAGTTTGACCCGTGACTGAAGACGCTCTCCCCCTCCCACCATCTACACCACTCTACTTCATTATTACAATCTGTATGAGTTTCTTGCAAAAAAGAAACATTTACATTCTTAATATTAATTAATTCTGCCACCATTGCTCTCTTGCTCCTGTCTCTCCCTCCGTTAATATTTAAAGAGGCTACCCTTATCATCTCCATAGAAAATATAAAGAGAAAGAAAAGAGAGACAGAAAGAA